GCAATGCAAACCTGACCTCCTCTCAGAAGTCTCAATGGATGCAGCCTCTCCGTGCCTCAGTAGTTTGCTGTCTCACCTTCCCATGTGCACCCATCACACACTGTGCTTATTTGTACCACTCCACTTGTGTATTAGTTATCTACTGCTGCGTAACAAATGTGCCCAAAATGCAGCAGCTTAAAATAACACACATTCATTATCTCACAGTTTCTGTGGATCAGGCATAAGAAGCATGGTTTAGCTAAGGCCTTGGTCATCTTAAAGCTCAACTGGAAAAGATCTGTTTCCTAGCTCACATGACAATGGGCAGGATTCAGTTCCTCACAGGCCGTTGGACTGAGGCCTCAGTTCCTCAAGAGCTGCTGGCCAGAGTCCCAGACCTGTTTCTAGCTAACTCATTAAACCCTGATTAGAGGCGAATTTATTGTGAAATCAACAGAGCTTAAGCTTCAGGGCCCCTGACCCTTCCAAAGGCCAGGAAGGGCCCCGCAGTTTTGTGTTGATAATTTTGCGTTCTTTTTCTTGAAGAGGTCACCTTACTTCAGGCCCTGGTCGCAATGGACCTGCCAGGATACTTCCACTGCCCTGCCATTCACCCCTCCTAACATACAGCATAGACTTACCAGTATCTTCTTTTGTGTATTTTATTTGGCTCTGACTCTTTCAAAACTGTTTCTCAGCAGCCCAGCCTTGCCCCTTCTGCCTTCACTTCCTTAACATAAACAACCTAGGTTCTGTAGTCTTGCCTCACAGGCCCTATTTTCTAACTCTTTAATCATCTTGACTGCTATTTTTGAAGCCTTTCATAGTTTTCCCTTAGGTAGTGGTGCTCAGAATGGATGTGTTTTTCTAAACAGCAAGTCTGGCTTCTGACCAAATGGCATCTGATCAGGGCTACTTTGGGGCTGGCTGAGTCTCAGGGACAGCTGCTTTGCCCTGTGTCGCCCCACTACCAACCTCAGAATGACTAAGGTTCAGAGAAATAAAAGAAGGAGTGACCAGGGAAAGGTAGAAGGGTGTGTGTCAGAAACAGCAAGAGCACAGCGGGAGCACTGCTGCTCCGAGTCCATATATCTTCTGAATTCTGCTCAACTACGCCAACTATCAGGGCAGGTTCCTTCTCAAACCCTGCCCATTGCACTAACTGTTGGGTCCGAGTCCCTCTGCCTAGGGACTGGACCTTCTTGAGTGCCAGGTCTTAGATGGAGAAGCCATGAGAAGTTGTGGGTGTATAAGAATGAGTCTTTTTTTTTTTTAAATTTCAGGGAGGAAGGGAGAGGGAGAGAGAGATAGAAACATCAATGATGAGAGAGAGAGAATCATTGATTGGCTGCCTCCTGCACACCTCCCACTGGGGATTGAGCCTGCAACCCGGACATGTGCCCTGACTGGGAATGGAATCATGACCTCCTGGTTCATAGGTCCATACTCAACCACTGAGTCTTCCCCCCTCACCCCAGCCCCCTGCCCCCAGGGCAGTTTTTTTTTTGTTTTTTGTTTTTTTTGAGAAATTGCCATACTGGTTTCCAAAGTAGTTGAACCATTTTACAATCCTACCAACTATAGATTGCTTTTAGAGGTTCAACTGTCATGTCTATAATAAGATTGTCTTAGGTACAATAGAGAACATCAACAAGAATAAAGCCCAGAGCAATGTACCTCAGATATGTTAATCAGGAGAGTTTAAATTGATAACTGTTACAAAACACTGATCATACAGTTGATAACTGTTACAAAACACTAATCATATTTTTTTTTAAAAATGGAAACATAAATTCAGAGGCCTTATTTTTAGACACTTTTAGTGTAACTAGACTTGTGTTTTGCTTTACATATTGGTTTTTGTTTAGAAAGATTTGGCCATAATATTTTGGACTATTTTTATAGCAGTTCCTTTGTGTTAAATTTTGAATTAAATATTTCAGATCTACAGAAAATAATATAACAAATATCTGAGTACTTATAACCCAGCTTAAACATTTCTTTAGATCTGTCACCGGGAGTAGAGTAGGAAAAAAAACCCAATAAACATTTCCACTCTTGCTGACCATGACAATAAGCATACCTGCATGACATCAGAGAAAAAAATAGTAAGTAAATGAACTCATACTTGGCTACATATTGCTCTTTCTGTAATTTGAGAGGAGCATGGTCCAGTAGTTAAAATCATGGGCTCTGAAGGTATACAGACTAGATTCAAGTCCTAGGTTTGCTTCTTGCTGGTTTTGTGGCCTCACGCAAGTTGCTTAATTTATTCCTGCCTCAGTTTCCTCATCTGTAAAATGGAGATAATCAAAAAACTTCCCAAGGTGTTTGAAGGATTAAATGAAAAAGATGAGCTCTTGTGTATTTACAGCCAGTGACACATAGCAAAGCTTCAATAAATATTAGTAATTATTTATTCTGTTTACTGAGCACCTACTATATGCCACTTACTATATGCCACTTACTATATGCCAACCATAGTATTGGCTGATAATTTAGCAGTGAATAAGAAAGATAAAGCCCCCATGAAGCTTACTTTATAGTGACAGATAAACAAAACAATTTCAGATGGTGGTAGGGACTATGAAGAAAAGATAAGGTGTGGAAAGGTGGAGAGCTCCTTTAGACAGAGGACAGGAGGTCATGGGAGGCTGTATGAAGCCTTCAGAGGGGACGTTTAACTGAGAGTAGCAGAAGGAATTAGTCATTTGGAAGTTTGGGGAAGAGTGAGAGAGGGAATAGTATGTGCTTAAGTCCTGAGGCAAGAAAGCTTGGTTTGTACAAGAAGAAAAAAACAGAATGGCTAGAGCTCAGTACATGAGAGGAAGGGAGGTTGGGCATGACATCAGAGTTAAGAAGGGCAAGCCAATAAGGGTCTCGTGGACCATAGTAAAAAGCTTGGATTTTGCCCTAATCGGTTTGGCTCAGTGGATGGAGCATCGGCCTGCAGACTGAAGGGTCCCAGGTTCAATTCCGGTCACGGGCATGTTACCTTGGTTGTGGGCACATCCCCAGTAGAAGGTGTGCAGGAGGCAGCTGGTCGATTTATCTCTCTCATCGCTGTTTCTAACTCTCTATCCTTCTCCCTTCCTCTCTGTAAAAAATCAATAAAATATATTAAAAAGAAAAAAAGCAAAGCTTGGATTTTATTCTCAAGGGACTGTGAAGACATTGGAGGGTTTTTAATGCTAGTAGGTACAGTACTCTTTGCTCTGGGGAGGAATTTGTATGCCTTTCTGTAGCTCTGTTTTAGGATTAATGAGCATGTATATGCTTTAGGAGTAATTTCTGGGGATGCAACATTGGTTAGTCGTTTGCACCCCCTGGTGGAGCTGGTGGCTCAGCTTGCATGGTTTCAGATCAGCAATAGCCATGTTGATGAGCAATTTATTCTTTCATTCAACAAATACTTATTGGGGTGCCTGCAATGTGTCAGGCTCTGTTCCGGTGCTGAAGTATATCCATGAACAAAACAAACACGTGTGCCCTCATGGAACTTACATTCTGGTATGTGTGAGTGTGGGGAGAGAGACATTAAGCCAAATTCACTAGCAAATTGTTGGATGGGGTAAATATGATGAGAGAAAAATTAAGAGGGGAACTGGGTTAGGAAATTCAGGGAGGATGATGGTGCTTCAGTTTTAAATACAGTGTGAGGGGAAAAAACAGTGTCAGGAAGTCTCATTGAGAGGGTGACCTATGAACACAGCTATAAAGGAGGGGACAGGGTGAATGATGCTATGATCAGGGGGAAGCGCATTCCAAGCAGAGGGCCCAGCAAACACAAAGGCCCTGAGTTTCCGCGCAGGTTTGAGGAACAGCAAACAGACCAATATGCCTTGAGTAGAGAGAGAATGGAGAGGGTAGGAGATGAGGTTGGTCGTAGTGGGGACGAGGGTGTATGTGTCAAATCTTGAGGGTCCTTAGGCCAATGTAAGAATTTTGGTTTTCACTTTAAAATAGAAATTCATTGGAGGAGCAACATGATCTGGTTAAGGTTTTAACTGAAGCCCACGGCTGCTGTGTTAATAGACTATGGGAAGGCAAGGGTATAAAAGGGTAGGCACACAGTCACACATTTACTGAGGCGTGAAATGGCCCGATTCTGGACAGATTTCAAAGGCAGGTTGTGGAGAGCTTGCTGATGAATGTGGGGTGAGAGAGAGGAGTCAAAGATCTTAGTACATAAGTAATATTACTTAGTAAATTGTTATCATAGGAAGAGGTGATCAAGACTACAGCCATAAAATTTACCGAGAGAGAGAAGCATAGCAAGCAGTTAATTAGTAGTATTTTCTGGATTTTGTGTTAGTGAGCATTTTTAAACCCTGCAATGAATTTTCTCAAAGAGGGCCCCCAAATTGAATAAATTTCAGGCTGCCACAAACCTGCATGCAACCCATATTTGGGTAGTAATTTAAAGTTAACGAAGACTTTAAAATGTTTGTGTCTGACAAAATAATTACATAAAATAATGTGCACAAAATAGAAATTAATTGTAAGCGCAATGCAATATTATTATAAACTAATATTGGGGATAAAAACATCACCTTGGGTTAGCCTCCCCACAAGTGTCTTCAAAAACTCTCCTCCTTCCTTCCACAGTTTTTCCATGTTCGCTTTAGGGAGGCAGGGATTACACGCATTTTAAGAGACCTTCTAGAAAACTGAGTGCTGAAGTGTTCCCCGGAGCCTTTGCACCGCAAGAACTAGCCTATCAGCACCAGGTACCGTGGAGGCACGGAGAGAGGCGTAACCAGGGGCGGGGCTCGCCGGGGCG